CTTTGACTAGACCATTGTAAGACCATTGCTTTGATGTTACGCCTTCTGTTGTAGCTCTGGCTGTTGTTCTGCTGGAAGCTAACCCTCTAACTCAGACTCTGGCTATTTTCAGTATCTAAAAGGATTTCTTCTAGTATTTTCCTGTATTTAGACAGTTTAGTTTTATTTTAGGATCATCAGAGTTAAGGGGTGAATTCAATCTATTAAGTATATTTTGTTTTACTGCTAAATTGTTATCGTTTTTTAAAAAAAATCCACGAATTTAAAACACATTGATAACATAAAGATGCAACTATCTTTTATTTCACTAAACAAATGTACACAAGGCTCGCTAAAAAAATCAGAATAATGTGGAGTTACATTTGTCTTTAGTCTAGGACTCCCATTAAGGATTAAAATCAATGAGATGTAAAATAATAACTGACCTGCGACTTCATCAGGAAGTCATAAACCCTAGAGGTCAGCACAGGCCGTGTCATGACGCTGTTTGGTGGGACAACTCCCAAGTTACAACTTTCCCACTCTGACAAAGCGGCTCGATGTCCATCAGCGCACAGCAGCTCAAAATCCGACAGTGTCCACCCCTCTGCCCAGCTGCTGGAATTTAAACCTGGAGATGGAACCACCATAAGATCAGATAGGTGGTACCACTGCAAAGATAATCCATGTGGTGTCCTCAAAACCTCACCTAGGATATTGGTTAGGAGGTTATGGTGCTCGAGGAAGGCCACATCACCATAGCTTTTCCCACTTGGATCTCCAACCAAACACCTGAAAAAGCCCACATGGACCAAATCACTCTGGATACACAGACACAGCTTTAGATACTAGAAGAAGTTCCAGCTGGTTTACTAAAGATAAAAATCAATAATGTAAATGGATAATTTAATAATAGATATGTGCAATTGTGTAAATATGATTCTTGTTTAAAACCACTTTGGTATTTATCAGATAAATTACTTCAAAGGTTGGTGTATAGAGAGGGACCTTTGCATAATCTCTCTAGATTCCTCACAGTCTATGGTCCTTTAGCATGCTTCATTCTCTTAATATCACACTAGAGGTTTGTAATGATGGAGACTAAAATGTCCATGTGGATATTTTTCTCCAGTGGACCATATCTGCAATTATCTGGCCAAGTCATTTAAGGCCAAATCAGCTTTCTTAACAATGTCCCTGTGGCCTGTGTTTTTTTGTTTTGTTTTTTTTTTCCAAAAAGTTCAGTCTTTGTCTAATTGGATCAAATAACTCAGCAGATATTGGTATATTTCCCCCAAAAAAACAAAAATAGAGCATTAAATGGTTGTTTCTGTAATTTGTTGAACCCAAATATTCACCTTTTAATGCAGTTCTCTGCCATGGTTTTTCACTGTAAATTGTGGGAAGAGTCCTTACTCATCTTTGTTTGTCACAGCCTGTTTAATAAATGAACTCATCTAATATTTTTACTCCAGAGAAACAGGAAATTGTGGATCACGTTTTATTTGTTTGACCTGTGCATAGAAAACTACCTTATAAAAACGTTATCCTTATTTAATAGTAAGCCTTAAGATGTCATTAAGTTTGGGACCAGTGATTATGTAAAAAGGAACCTAAAAGATAGGATTTTATTTCAACCAAATTATAAAAAATAATTAAGATTAAAGGGTGAAAAGTTTTTGGTGTGAGTTTATGCTGAAATAAAATAAAATAAATATTAAATAATAAAATTTTACATATCATGTCTTGTAAAAAAAAAAAAAAAATTTATTAATTTGTTTAGTGTGCAGAGAAAGCTAGATTAAAACTGGTTAGAAATGTACTTCATTAAGACACCCACGTACCTTAAGGCACCCATGTTTCCATAGTAACGCTCATTGTGGTTGTCGGTGCAGCGTTTGGTCGTCGCCTCGCCTGTGCCTCCCATGCACACTTTGCAGAGGTTCCCCTCAGATCCAGGGAGGCAGCCTTTCCAAAACACCGTA